GTTGCTGGGAGGCAGATTTAGGCTTTCTATAAGGAAAAATTTCCTAATAATTAGAGCTTTCCAAATGCAGAATGGGGTATCTTAGGAGGTAGAGGGGTCTTCCTCAATGGAAATTTTTTGATCAGAAGTTGAGTGATCCATGCCAGGGATATTATAGATGTTATACCCTGTTGAAGTACTGGTTGGACTGGATGACCTCTAAGATGCCTTTTAGCTCTCTATTAAGTATTTGGGGTCTGCAACAGATTGACAAAGTTGACTTTTTTTTAAAAGGAAAAAGACAAATGCTGGAGGGGCTATGGGAAAACAGGCACATTAATGCACTGTTGGAGCTATGAATTGGTCCAGCTATTCTAGAAAACAAACTGGAACTATTCCTAAAATTTACTGAACTGTGCATATCCTTAGACCAAGTGATGGATCTGAGAAAAAGGAAAAGCACCTATATGTATAAAATTATTTATAGCAGCTCTTTCTGTTTTAACAAGGAACTGGAAACAAAGGGTGCCCATCAAATTGGGTAATGACTGAACAAATTATGGTATTTGTAATGGAATGGAATATTATTGTAATGAAAGAATTGGCAAAAGAGACAATTTCAGAGTAACCTGGGTCAACAGGTATAAACTGATGCAGAGTCAAAGGAGCAGAACCAGGAGAACAATTTGTATAATAACTGCATCATTGCAAAGACAAAACAATTTGAAAGGTCTACAAATTCAGATCAACGCAATGACCAGTCACAATTCCAAGGCTGATGATTAAGCAAGCTAATTACCTTCTGACAGAAAAGTGATGAAGACAGGGTACAAAATAAGATATATATTTTTGGATGGGCAACATGAAGATTTTTTTTCTTTTTTTGATCCTGTTACAAAGGTTTTGTTTTTCTCTTTTTTTCCAGTGGAGGTAGAGTTAGGAAGGCAAGAAAATAACTTTTTCTTAATTGGAAAATAAAATGAAATTTGAAATTAGTGTAGTTATAACCTAACCATGCCTGACCATGAACTGAGAAGACAAAACTCTGTCATCCTCACCACCCCCCATCCCCACCCCTCCCACACCCATATAGATCACTTCACACATGTAGCAGACACCTGGGTTCTAGGATCCTGCTTGAGAGCAATGGTTAGGAAGAGCTCCCCTTCCCCTTTTCATTTTTTTTTTCTGGGACAGAGAAAGTCATCCAGAATGAACAAACCACATTTTGCCGTGATCTGTATGACAGATCTCATTATATTATCTTTCCTTCAAGACCTACCAAAAAAATAAAATAAGTTTCAGGATCTATCCAGAACTAAGAGGGTATTACATAAATGCTTAATTACAGTTGTACTCACTGTCTTCAGGTTGCTAATTTTAGGCCCCATTTATTTATCCATCTTACTAACATTTTAATGGTGAAAACATTGTGGACATAAAAGGTCAGGAAAGAGCTGGAATTCTGGACCCCACACTGATGACTGCTCTGAAAACACCAAAGCTCCAGCATTCCAAAATGTCAGCTTGGTAAACCTCCACGGGAGCTGCTGGTTTAGATGTGGCAGGAAAAGCAGAGCTTTGGGAGAACAAGAAGGAAGACTGGAAATGGTAGGAGATGGGATCTCAGTAAGATCAGCTATCACAACACTAGTTAAGAACTTGTCAAAGTGTCAACACCTTGAATTATACTTGGAATTGAATTAGCATCTGGGATGGTTTATTTAAACAGGTCCCAGGAAGATCACATTGCATAAATCAGGTTCAGTTGTCAGTGGGTGGAGGAAATATGTTGTTTACATATTGATACATAGGAATAGTATCTCATTTAAGGAAGGGGCCTATACTACACCTTTGCCCAGTATGAATACTAGTTTGCTACAGTGGACCACAAGGAAGTCATTACAGATTCTCCCTCCACAATCTAAGCATTATGTTGCCTGATGCTTGTTGTGCTTACAGACTCTTAAACCTTGTTAAACCAGCTGAGCTGCTTTCAGGTAGGGGAGGGAAACTGGTCAGCATCCAGAATCCCTTCTAGTGGAAGGCAAACAACTAGTCCTACCTGGGAATGAGATCTGAAAATTCTCTATGAAAACAACTTCCCACATTTCTACCTTCTTAATGTGAGGTTTTTAGAGATGATTTTACCTCTCCTCCAACCTCTGTGCCAGGATTGGTGACCATAGGTGTAGTTGGTTGAAAGATAATGGTATTAAAGGTGGAAGCAGGGGCTATACCACAGCCACCAGAAGTCAGGAACCATCTATGGTGCATCAAAAAGAAAAGGATGGCTTGGAGGCCAAGGCTCTGGGTTCTAATCCTTGACTAGAGAATTTCTGGGGAAATCATGAGGAATTGCTTTCTAAAACCACTTTTACCACTAGGTGACTTTGGGCAAGTCACTTCCCCTCAATGAGATACTTGGATTGGGTCATCTAGAAAAGTCCTTCCCAGGTCTAAAATGCTATAACTATTATCTCTAATGTGGTTTGGTTTTGTTACCTAAATGAGAAATTATTATTTCTGTTAATAAAAAAATGTTATAGTTAACTAAAATAACTTTCACTCCTGAAGCAGCTGTCAGTAATTTATTGACTATCTCCTGGATCACCTGCACCCTTATGAATAGTTAAAGAGGTGTGATTATCCCTAATTTGCCTAATGAGGGCCTGGCTAAGAAAGAATACAATAAAACGGCTAATAATAGAAAAAAAATGTGTTCCCTCAACCGAAAACAGAACCAAGGTTGTGAATGGGGGAGCTGGAATGAGGGATACGTGGGAAATAAATGTGATATAAAAACAAAAGGACTATAAAAATATATTTAAAAAATAGAATTCAGGGAATCTGGCTTCTCTGTATACATTCTGGCTTCCATAAGTCTCACTACTTGATGAAAATTACAAGTTTCAAAATACGTTCCTATAAGGGAAAACGCTCATAGTCAACTCTCAATTAACCAAAGATTTATACTCTAGTTTGTGAATCATCTGTGTTTTGAGTTTATCCTTTCACTACATCTTTTAATCATTTGACTGCTTATTATTTCTCCATCAGAAGATGGAGGAAAGAAAGGAGTAGAGATGCGCCTCCCCCAACTAAACACTTCTCAGGTATGTATATATATGTGTGTACATATAGATATACATATGTGTGTGTGTGTGTGTATATATATATATATGTGTGTATATATATATATATATATATATATATATATATGTTATACCGAGAAATTAGCGAGTTGATCATCCAGGCTAATTTTAAATTGTGGACTTTATTAGTGCGTGGCTGCCAGGGGTATTCACATCCAAATCAAGCAGCCCCCATCAGGGGTCGAGCTAGGGTTTATATAGGGAGTATACAGGACAGGGAGGGGGATGGATCTTTGAAGTCTGGCAAGAGGAAGAGGTTTTTCTGGGGGTTGGTCAAGGACACCCTTCTCCCTCTGTGTAGATATGATAATGCTCTGCAAACTTTCTTACAATGGAGTTTTCCAGAGATATGATCTGAGGGCTAGGACCTGAGCAGCCAGATAAGGATCTTACTGAGGCCCATGCATGAAGACTGCTAGGCACAGCGTCCTTGGGCTGGGGAGTGTTTGTTAGAGATAGTGTTTCTGAGACTACGGAGGCATTTTTGGGGCAAAAGCATAAGCACAAGTATCCAAGCATCCCATCATTACAGGTCAGGGATCACACCAACCAGACCAGGTGTCCTGGTTTCTGGTATAAACATAATTATCTAAAGCCATTGTATTGCAAGTTTTCTTATCCATTTGCTTTGGAGGTATGGGCTGTGCTTAAGCTATGCAGGAGTACATTTCACTATTGTTTAGATTTAGGAGGAAAGAGGTCTGGGGCAAGATTAAGCAGCAACTTCTGCTTTCCATTGCCTAAAGGGTCCTATTACCTAAATGGTAAAATAATGTTCTGCATTACATATATATGCATATACTTATACATACACATATATATATATATATATATATACATATATATATATATATATATGTTTCCTTTGGTTTTGGGTATTTGTTTGAAACATGGATTTCATTTATCTACACTGATTTCCTTAGTGTATGGATAGAACTGAGAACTACCTATGGATGCAAAAGCTTAGATTTGATTTAATAATAGTTTACCTATTTGGGGGATATGAAGATGGGGAGGGGTAAAGTGAGGGAAAGGAACAAGCATTTATTAAGCACCTACTATATACAAGGCACTGTGCTAAGTGCTTTACAAATATTATGTCCTTTGATCTAAGCAAGTGCTTTACAGTAACAAAACAACTTCATACACATTTGAATCTCACAACAACCTGAGAGTTAGGTAACAGAAATATAATTATAATCCCCATATCAGCTGCCTGAAGTTTAGCTGATAGGCCATAAGGGTAGATCTTAAGGCTCAGGGTAGTATAATGGCTTATCCGAGATCACAAAGCTAAGGAATGGAGACAAATAGTGAGCATTTATAGAGTACTTTAAGATCTGCAAAGTGTTTTGCACTTGTTATCTCATTTGACTCTCAGAATAATCCTGGCTATAATTACCACCATTTTATAGATGAGGAAACTAAGGCAATGAATAGTTAAGTGAATTGCCCAGGGCCACATAGCTAGTAAATGTCAGGCTGCTTTCCAACCAGGGTCTTCCTGATTCCAAGTCCAACACTCCTAGACAGAAATAGAAATAGTAGCACACTAGCAAATGTTTAACAACCAGATCTTCCCCCCAAAAAAAAAGGTAAGTACATACTTTTGAGTTTAATCTGCATTATTAACATTTTCTCTATCATCTTCTTTTGCCTAGACAATCACAGTATCAAGCCTTTATCTGTAGCATTTGACTATATCTAATGTATAAATGCTTTCACTGAAAATTTAACAATAGGCTGTCAAGAGCTGTCCAGCTGGCTCCATCGCACCATCTAAAAGAACCCAGGTTTTTGACTATTAATCCCATATTCTGCTACTGTATTTCTCACCCTCTCTTCTCCTCTCAGGCTTTGACTGACCTGGCAATGAGTTTTGCAGGATTCTGTGGATTGGAGAAACACCAAGCAGGAAAGAAGAATTGCTAAGGACATTGTTTCCACCCAGCTGACTTTCTTGTTTCTGTTAAAAAAAAAAAAAGTCTCTGAGTCACTGCTTTCTGAGCTCTATGCATCTGTGGAAGGAGAGGTTTGTCAAGAACAGATTCTAAACTTCAATGATCCTCCTATTCCCGCCCTCCAAAAAAAGGAATAGAAAAAAAAAAAAGACAGACCAAGCCTAGTTCTTCAGTTCCTCTGGGAGTCTCACTTCAGGAGGAGGCTATATAGAGTTATGTTGGATCAGAAAAACTGACTTCTGCTGGGGATGAGGCAGCCCCCACCCTCACAGCCCTCTGGTGTTTACTCCTGCATGATATCTAAAGCTGGAAACCCTCCAAGGGCAGCTGTTAAGTTGACTGTACTTCAGCTGCCAACCAATTATTAAAAATACCTCAGATTTGGGGGGTGTAAATGACAGTATGTAGGTGAGGATGGGACAGGGAGTATAGCCATATGTAAGTGTCTATCTGCATATGAGTGTTTAGCTAGACTGTGTCTTCTAGACTAAGGCTTCTTAAGCTCAGGTACAGGAGTCCAAGAATTCAGATGCAGAAAAAATTAAATCTTTATTTTCATTAACTTCTAATTGAAATTTAGCATTTCCTTCGATTACGAATGTAAACAAAAAAACATTATTGTGAGAAAGAGTTTATGGGATTCACCAAATTGCCAAAGGGGTCCATGTCATAATAAAGATTGAAGATCTTTGCCCTAATCCAGAGGTTTCCCAAGTGGGTGATACCACCCCCTTTTGGGGGTGCTAGAACAATCCATGGGGGTGATAGTAGCCTCAGGTGCAATTGGGAGGCATTGAATAAAAATAAAGGGGACAGTGGATGCACAAGGAAAGAAGAAAAGATAAGAAAATTTTGAAAAACCATTCATACATGTTTCATCTGCTGTGTAACAGAGTTTCAGGGATGGGAAACCTATGGCCTTAAGGCCACGTGTGGCCCTCTAGGTCCTCAAGTGTGACCCTCTGCCTGAATCCAAACTTCACAGAACAAATGTTCCCCACTCCTGGTTAAAGTCATAATGATTACATTATTTTACAAACAAACACACAAAATACAAGTTCTATCTGATCAGTGGTCAAGTCTGCTGATAGGTCTTAACAAGAAAGTGTTGGCAGGTGAGCATGTCTCTGATTGTTGGGAAGTCCATCATGCATTGGCAGGAATATGTGCATGTAATGACTTGTTTGCAATACGATACTATGCAGTTACATGATGCAATATTGCATCATCAAAATTTCAATGCAGGAAAAAAACACAAATTTACAATAAATTATTAAATGTAACAGGTATCATTTTTTTAAAAAAATGTATGTATTTTTGAAATGACACAAATTTCAAAAAAAAAATTAAAGTGTTAAAGAAAGTAGATTTATAGGGGGCACTGAGTAATTTTTTTTAAAAGGGGGTGGCAGGCCAAATAAGTTTGGGAACTTCTGCTCTATTCTAAATGGCTTTAAGAGCCCATTTTGAACAAAAGGGAAATGGTAACTGCCATTTAACCATTATCCCAGTTTGTGCCTAATTTACTATTTCCTATAAAAAAGAAACGACTAAAGGAAAAAAGACATGATCGCTATTTTCAAACACTTAAAAGGCCAACATTGGAAATAATAAAAGTAACAATGACTAATTACATTCCTATAGCACTTTCAATGTTGTGTGTGTGTCTGTGTGTGTTTTGGTTTTGTTTTGAGACTAGGTCTCCCTATCTTGCCCAGACTGGAAGGATAGCATCCATTCATGGGCCTAGTCCCAACACTGATTGACTTGAATGCTTTAACCTGCTCTGTTTTTTCCAGCTTGGGCTCCTGGGGATCCATCATATTATTGAAGGACTTAATGCAGAATCCAATCTGCTTTAGACCTACTGTAGCTCAGAACTCCCAAATTCAAGCAATCCTTCAGTAGGGAATACAGGCATGAAACACCATGCAAACCAGTGGCTGGTACTTAGTTTTCCAAAACATTTTGTCCATGGAAACCTATGAAGTTGATTCTGAAAATATTATTATCTTCACTTTACAAATGACCGAACTGAGACTCAAAGAGGTTATATCACTTGCCCACACTCACACAGTGAAGAGTACCAGAGGTGGGGCACAAATCCAGGTCTTCAGATTCTAAGACTAATGCTGGCTGACAGAATCATTGGACTTGCTGTTCTTGACCCATGAAAGTAGAACTAGTAATCAGCAGGTAGAGGTTACAAGGCCATAAATTTTAGCTCAGTAGCACAAATTTTAGCTCAAGAAAGAACTTCTTAATAATTACAGCTATCCAAAAGTAGAATGGGCCATGTTCTCGTGAGATAGTGGCTTCCCCATCACCCATATGGATGCTATTGAGAGTATTGATGCTTTAAGAAGAGGTGGGTAGGGGCAGCTAGATGGCACAATGGATAGAGCATCGGCCCTGGAGTCAGGAGGACCTGAGTTCAAATCTGGCCTCAGATACATAATACTCACTAGCTGTGTGACCCTGGGCAAGTCACTTAACCCTGATTGCCTCGCCTAAAAAGGGGAGAGAGAGAGAGAGAGAGAGAGAGAGAGAGAGAGAGATCTTCAGGGTTCCTTCCAATGCTAAGGTTCTGTGCAAATACCTGGAAGTGTCTCCAAGCAAAGCCATATCCTTACAGATAGGTCAAAAAATTTCCTCAGATAATACTGGAAAAACTGGTAATGTGAATGCTGTACCACTGACAATGATATTTCATAGATCATGGATAGAGAAAGGTGTTGCAGGCTCTTTATTTATTATATCATCTATTATATAAAATGCCCCAACTTTCAAAAAAAATGGAAAAGAATAGAATCCACAAACTTTAGACCAGTGAACTTGATTCTAATGGCTGACACAATTCTAGGGCAAATTCTTAAAAATTATTTTGAAAATTATTAATGATAGTATAGAAAAGGAAGCCATAATCACCTAGAGAAGTGTGACTTCATCAAGATCAGGTCATGACAAACTAACTTAATTTCCTTTTTTGACAGAGTTACTAAATTGATCAATTAGAAGAATGCTGTAAATATGGTTTCCCTTGATTTCAGCAAGTATCTGATAAAGTGTTTCATGCTATTCTTGGAGAAAGGATAAAGAGATAGGTACCCAAGGATAGTATGATTGATTAGCCACAATCAAAGAGCAGTTATTAATGGTTCAATGTCAACTTAGAAAGAGGTCTCCAGTGGAGGACCCCAGGGATTCATCATTTTCCCTGTATTGCTTAATAGTTCTATCAATGACTTAGATAAAGTCATAGGTGATGTACTTATTAAAATTGTAGATAACACAAAGCTAAGAAGGATAGCTATCAAAAAGGATGACAGAGTCAGGATCTGAAATGAAATTAACAAGCTAGACCAGGGGTGGAGAACCTGTGGCCTCGAGGCCATGTGTTAATTTCTAGGTCCTCACGTGCGGTCTTTCGACTGAGTCCAATTTTTACAGAACAAATCCTTTTATTAAGGGGATTTATTCTGTGGAGTTTGGATTCAGTCAAAGGGCCTCACTTGAGGACCTAGAGGGCCACATGTGGCCTTGAGGCCTCAGCTTCCCGCCCCTGGGCTAGACTATTAGACAGAATATGATAAGATGAAAAGTAATCAGAATAAAAGGACAGCTAGTGGATAGAGTGCCAGGCCTGGAGTGAGGAAGACTCATCTTCATGAGTTCAAATCTGGCCTCAGACACTTACTAGCTGTGTGACCCTGGGTAAGTCACTTAACTCTGTTTGCCTCAGTTTTCTCATCTATAAAATCAGCTGCAGAAGGAAATGGCAAACCACTCCAGTATCTCTGGCAAGAAAACCCCAAATGGGATCACAGAGAGTGAAACACAACTGCACAACCACCACAAATCGGAATAAATGTGAAATCTTACTTTGTGCTCTAAAATTTGACTGCACAAGTACAAGAGAGGCAAGGTTAGGCAATGGTTCATGTGGGGGAAAAAATCAGGAATAAGAGTGGTTTAGTGTCCTGTAATCTCAACATGAGTCAAAAGAGTGATTTATCAGCCAAAAAACTAAAGGGATCTTAGGCTTTACCAAGAAAAAAACCTAGTTTCTAGAAATAAGGGAATGCTACTTCCATCACCCTCTACCCTCTCAGAACACATCTGGAGAATCACGTTTACTTATTGGTACCATAGTTTAGAAGAGACACAGAGAAGCTAGAAAGTATCCAGAGAAGGGCAACCTAAATGATGAAGGGTGTCTATTTCATGCTATATGAAGAGTGGTTCAAGGAACAATGGATGTTTTGCTTGGATAAAAATTTGATAGTTTTGTTCAAATTTCTGAAGTATTGTCATGTGGAAGAATTTTTTACTATTTCTTCTTGGCCCTAGGGCGCAGAACCAGTAACAATGGGCAGAAGTTGTAAAAAGATATATTTAGGAACTACAATCAGAGCTATTAAAAAAAAAAAGTAGGATGGGTTGCCTCAAGAGATAGTCAATTCCCCTTCACTGGACATCTTCAAGTACAGACTGAATAACCACTTGTCAGGTATTTTATAGGATTCTTTCCTGAGAAGAAATAGGATTAAATGGCTATTGGGATGCCTTCTAACTTTAAAATTCTATGATTCTTGAAGAACTGAAGCCAAGAACCTAAAAAGAAGACTAAAGAAACCTCTATGATCAATTGCATTCATTGGCTGGCTTCTAATTTTTTTTTAACAGGCTGATTTGGGGAGTGGGAATGACAGTTCCATACCCAGAAGAGGACAGCATTGAGAGTATATCCATAGACAGGTTCTCAGGCACAAATTTTTATCATAATTTCTTGCTTGAGATACCAAACCTTTAAGAAAAAAAAATTATTCACCTTTTAGTTGCAAAAGCACTGTATTGGGAATGAAAAAAAAGCCTGTCTTTAAATATGGCCTTTGTTACTATCTTATATGATCTTGGGCAAATCACTTGCCCTCCCTGGGTTTATTTCCTCATTTATAAAGTAAGGAGGCTTGGATTAATAATAATAATAGCTAACATTTATGTA